TGTCCTCAAAGTCACTTAACCTTTCCTTTGCTTCAGTTTAACCCATCCAGCTTTGGAAACTTAGTAAAGGGAGTGTGATGTTTAGAACTGTTCTTTGAAGTTGTCTGTCTTCACTGACAAGAGGGAAAAATATAGGCTAACAGTGATCCTGATTTAATTGTTTCTGTTCCATGTCAGGATGTACACTAGCTAAATTGATTCCTGCCAATCTTGCAGCTAAACTTCAGCTCCTCCTTTGCTAACCAACACCTCTCACTGTTGATCACCAAGAGGTTCTGCCATCCCAGGTATCCTGCTGCTGRCACCCTTCCATTTGCTTGGCATACAGAGAACCATCAGTTGAATCATCTATGCTCTGCTCTAAAATTAAAGCCATAAAAGCAATAGATGATGAAAGGGGAATTGGTACAGACCATGTGGATCTGAGACCASGTTCTAATAATGAGTTTTTTACATGATTTTTATAGGCTATGGGTATTTCACCTTATGCTGATACTATGCTGATGTGGGAAAGCTTAGAGGTTTTGTCACSATAAACTTCCAGAAGTTTAGATACATGTCTCAGGCTTATCCAAATGCTTTAGATGTGGGAACTGGACAGGAAAGTTCATGGGACATTAGTATTTTGGCTCTAGTTGATCTAAATATGGCACATTAACAGATTGCTTTGTGTACAGTACAGTTCACTTCTCCAGCTCAGTACATTCACTTATGATTTGAAATAGAAATGACTGCAGTCTAGAAACATACTAAATATTAATAAAAAAAACACAGAACTGATTTAACTTTAAATAAACTTTTATTTTTAAGTCGAAATTTAGGTTATCATTCAGGTTGGTTATTACATTTGAGAATTCTGCCCATAACTGTGGCATAACAGGTTGTGAGATTTGTACCTTAAGCTGCCTTTCAAAGTCAAGCAYGAAGTCTGCAAGATTGCCTTTAGTGGAACTACTTTGGTTCACTGAAAATGCTTTCAAAGGCAAGTCGTCCTTRCAATCTTCAGTTTCCTAGGTTTGTTTTATCTMTGGATCCATCATCCTCCTTTTTCTGTTATCACTWAATGCAGATAAAAAGTAGGAATGTCAGTATAATTGTCTTTGGGGATATTTTCAACTTTCACCAACTAATTGGTGAAACAGAGTGGAAACAGAGGCAGTGGCTTCATGTACCTTAGCACTTCRTGCTTCCATGGCTACATCCAACAAAGCCATTTGCTTTGACCCACTTTTTTTCAAGCCACCTACTAAAGTGCATTTTGGGCTACCATGTTTTCACTGTTATGCGTGAAGACCAGCTTGTTTTGACTCAGGCCAGTGGCAGTCAAAGGCACCCCTTCAGAGAAACTCCCTATAGGGCACAGAAGTTCTGAAAAGTCAGTTTAGTCTCACCTGCAGTGGCACAAAGTCCTGTCTTCTCCACTTACCTGCCAAGAGCTGCAGCTTCCTTCATGGGCTCAGCAGCTTCTTGTCTCCWTTTGGGAAACCAGAGAGTTTCAGAAGCTCTCAGTCATCATCACATCCTGTCCAGCTGAACTTACTCTACATCTGCAATATTTTTGCAAGCAGGAGAAAACACAAAGGAGGGAGGGATTGTTTGTGGATTTCTACATAAACAAGAAAATCTCAGAAAGGTGCAGGAAGATGCGTGGTGATCCTGTTCTTCTACAGTGAGAGGACTGCAACTAGTGCTGGAGATGTTTTAAATGTGTTTATGAGAACTCCTTACACAAATGACACAGCTACAGAAAAATTACCATTGCYTCACATTGCAAAGAAGTTGAACTTGATCCCAGAATCAAGTGTTTCTTGTTGCAGAGTGTGTTTGTATCCACWGCCCTACTGCTTTGACAATAGAACTGATTTTCTATCAAGTCATCTTTCCTAAGAATTGCTTGACATAATTTCACTCAGTTTCTAGGATACTTAGTAATTTTTTTGCTTCATATTATTAGCATTTTTATAGAGCATAGGGCATTTTGAATGAACATACCTAATCAAGTAGGTGAAATTTTCACTTGCAYTTTTACAGTCCCTCTGTGCAAAGCAGGAAGACAAACAGTCAGGTTTCTGTTGCCTTGTAATATGTATAATGATCACTTTTATAAACTATAAAAATACGGTTTATTTAAGTTAAATATATTTAGGTTCTATTGGGAATATGTTTAAAGCCTTTGGAACCTGTAAAGAGTGCACATGCATAGCTACAGGGCACATCTCAAGTTGATATTTGAAATCATTCTAATTAAAATGAATTAGAAATKGTTTGGGTAGTGAAAGCTATGCTTTTACAGTGGATGTGGTCAATGGGGATTAGTTGTAATTGTTGGAGTTTACAAAGTTTATGGCTGTAAAATAATAGTGTGCTATCTGGTTTAAAACCATAATAGAGGCCAGAGCATTTTTTGCAATTAATTTATTTTCATTTCCAAGTTCCTAAGAAGCACGAAACCAGAATAAATAGCTCCTAAGGCTTTAATCCCAATAACATTAATTGTTTGGATTGCTTATTATCAAAAATAATTACAAGTCACAATATATCATGGAAATTTTTTACTTTACGCRTCTTCTTGAAGTCTTAAGGCATGGAAATACAAAAGCCCAAGCAACTGTATAAAATCAAATGGAAGAAGTATGCAAGAAAGCATATTGAAATGCCTTTTTTATTTCAGTCTTAGAGAAACAAACTAAAATTGGTGGAAATAGAATTAGAATTTAAAAAAAAAAATAAATAAAGGGAAGAGGAGTGGGAAGATATTGCAGTTTTAAATTTCATACTGTATGTCTCAATTTCTTTTTCTGAATTTCATAACACTTCAAGAATAATCAAATACATTATACTTATTTTTATTCAAATTCAATTATTTCAAAGTTCTGGAAAGTTCTTAGGCCTTCTTGCAGATTCACGTCAGATGAGTCGATGCTCTCCTACTGACCTTTGAAATTTGTCTACATTGCTGAAACCAATGAAAGGTTCCTACTGTCTTCAAAAGCTTTTTATCAAATTAGAGATTCTTCTCCTCGAAAAATCTGTAAATAACACCAAATAATTTGCGATCTAGACAAAATCTAGATTGTAACTGTGCTTGTAACTAGCAGGTTTCTCCAGTGAAATCCTGGAGTACAGAGAGTAGCAAAGTATCAAATTAGGTGCCTATTACCCTTCAYCCAAAAGAAATACTGAAGAATACGCAAAATTGTCAATGAAAATTATAGATTTTTCACCTTTCAGGTACACAGGACATACTCAGTGAGAGCATCATTAGTGATGATAATGTCAAACTGATAACARTTTGGAAGAATTCTGCTATATTTCTAAAACTAAATAGCTTAACTAGGTATAATCAAGCTAGTAATTGTAGATATAATGCAAATTTCTCCTCATTTCTGTTCATGACCTCCTCACAGTTGCTCCACCAGGAATATAATGGAGTGTGAGGTTGCAAACAAACTTCAGCAGAAAAACCAGACATATTTTCATTGATTATATTAATACTTCTGTTGCTTTAATTTTAGTACTGAAAAGCAGTGATATCCACTATTTAAAGGCATGATACTTAAAATGAGTTAATTCTGTACAAGTTTCTCATTTAAACACTGTTCTCCTCCAGATGTRAGTGTAATTGTTAATTGAAATAGTCTAATATGATATCACTGTTACAAGGATATTATGGCAAAATCCAGCTCAGTTTAATCCCTTTCAACATAAAAATTCATAATGGCACACGTTATGCCAGTTTTTGTGGGGTTTTTGCTTCTTTGTAGATAGGTTTGGGGTTTTGTCTTATTACTGGTTTTGTTAGAAATGGACTCAGACTAGTTTTATTGGTGCCACAGTTCAGTTCTGTAGAAAGAATTAACTGAATTCTTCTCATCCCTTTTTGGCATGGAAAGCACAAAAAAGAAAGTGCCAGTCGTGGTGTTATAGCAGTGTTAGCATCACATTCCTGCCCTCTAGTAATACACCATCCACACCTTAGTACACTTTACTCTGATTTTGAGCTCAATTKTTCTAGTAGATGTCCCCTGGAAGAGCTACTCCATCCTCTATAACAATGCTAGGASTGCCTAAGAAAATCAAGAAAGCAACTTTGGCTATTTTTTGCTGTGAAATAAGCAACATTTTAAGAATTCTACAAAGAAAATAGACCTCAGCATGCGTGGACTCACTGGCCTGCCTCTATCAATAGCATGGCACTGTTATATGTAAGCTCAGCATGAAGACCAAATTAAGGAGGATGGTTTTGCCCTTCCTGTAATTTCCCTTCTGGTACACCCTTAGTGATCACTGAGTTAGCCAGGCTTTTCATCCATTGTCAGGAAAACAGAAATGTTGGAGCCAGGCATGCAATCTAATACCCCAAATCAATATGCACCTGGACAGAAAACAGAGATGAAAAGGTATATTGCCCATTGCTGATCCCTTGGACCATCCAGTGTCACAGAAAGAATCTGTTTTAAAGAGGTGGGGGGGAATCATATTTATTACAAACAGAGCAAAATGTTTTTGGTATCTGAAAGAAAAAGATAGTGTGGCCATAAGAGTTAGTCTTACTGTTGTCAACACTCTTGCCAAAAGTGAATTTATCAGCTCAGCCCAGCCAAGAGATTTAGTGTAACTAAATGTCTGACAAGGAATAAATTGTTTACCACGGGTATTGAAGACTGGGGAAACTCTAATGTTCTGTTGACATATGCTATATATTTAATTTGATGTTGTGGTTTCAATGTCTCTTCTGATAAATTTTAGTAAAATCTATGCTAAAAAATGGAGTTGTTTCAGTATCTATGGGGTTTAAAATACAGTGTTATCAAAGGAAACAGGTTAATTGAAAAAATGTTTATGTATATTCTTGCAATGGTTCAAACAATAATTTTGCTGAATTTTTTTGTTCAGTTGGTCCTAAAATTTACAATTTTCTTATTTTTCAGATTTWTTCTTTTCTATAGTGAGAAAATCTGGTAACAAAGTGATTAAATAGCTCAATTTTTGTTTTTTAGGCATATTGGAGATAACATCAGTAGAAATTGGAGTTGTGGCAGTTAAGTCTATTAAAAGCAACTACTATTTAGCCATGAACAAGAAAGGAAAAGTCTACGGCTCTGTAAGTACCTTTTTTACATTCCAAATGGATTTCAGTCGTTCAGCACAGCTCCCTCTCTTGCCTATTGAAAACACTGTCTGTGTATTGCTACTAATTAGAGCTGAAATGAGCTGTTAATCAAAATTTCCTCCTCTGATAAACCAGGATCACCTCTCTCTGTGGATGGAGATCATTTATCTCCTTTCACATCTCTCCACAAGCTTCCTGTTGTTTGCTAAGCTTGTGTCACACCAACACAAATGCTGGGATTTATCGTCACTGCTTCGGTCACATTTCTTATTAAGGAGTGCTCAGTGGAGAGGGTCCTACAAAATGTGATCTTCAGGACTTGTTTTCCCTGTTTTCTCTGCAGTAAAGTCACATTTAGCAGTAATTCAAGGGTGGGGGTATGGGGATAAAGTGTTCCTGAAATCATGGAATCCTGAGCTGATGAAGTAAACAGACTGAACCACCAAATTAAAACTTTGAAGAAGATTCCTAGAGTACCATTCCCTAAATTGACTATATTGATTAATGAATGAGATTATGGACAGAACAGAGAGAYATGAACTTAAATGTCAGCAAATAAACTTTGTTTGAGCAGAATTCAGGTAACATTTGAAAGTTGTTCATAGATCCTTTTTTTCTATCTGTAAATCTGGGGTTTCTGATACTTTTAGGGAAAAAAAAAAGTTCTAAACACCAAACCTCAAAAGCAATCAGCCAGACAAAAACACACCAACCCAGGAAATCTCAGTAACCATCCAAATATTTTTAATAGATAGCAATATGATCTATAAACATGACAACTATATTCAAATATATCTTCATACATCCCATGATTACACAAACACAAAATTGTTCTGCCATTACATCAGGTTTTACATCTATTTTTGCAATGTTTTGCCATTTCCTGGAAAGGTTATGAGCCAATCTGCAGGTTGCTTAATGCTCAGATCACCCATATGGTTTACAGAAAGAAGTTCACATATAGGGACTCAGTTTATTGTTAAGCAATGTAGCCAGATCTCCTATTTCTGATGAAAAGAATGAAGTAATGATAATCTCAAGTGAGACTCAAGGTCTTCTTGAGTCATCTTACCCTCTTTCTTAGTGAAACATTTGTACATGGCATGTTTAATGCATAAAAGCTGTATAAACTGTCCTTCCTCACCTACACTGGCTAGTCACTTCTGGTTCAATAATATCTGGTTTTCTAAACTCTGTGACATTTTCAAAAAAATCACATTAAGGAAACAAAGAAATTTCTCATAAACTCCTGTAGATGCAGATTTTAATTTCTAGATTTACACTGGCCAGAAATATAGGAACATCAGTGCTTAGTCCTGCTCTATTGAGAAACAAAACTGTGTACTGAGTCCTTGTTCACGGGTATGCTTCTGTACATAGKTGAAGGTTTCAGCATAAATTACCACCTTCAATTCACACATCTCRGTTTACAATGTGCAAGGTAGTCATTAGTGATGGTCCATCCCAAAGCCCMAGGTTTCCTTACCCTAGCTGTAAGCCATGGCTGGTGTGGTGAGAGTCTGTCCCAACGCTATATATGTACAAAAGACATTGAAGCAGCTTTCGTGTACCATAGATGGAAACTGCTGCCATAAGATTCAGTAATTCATAGTGCATTAGAAATAGTGTTGACAGGAAGATACGAATGTGGGAAGCCTTTTTTTTTAAATCCAGCTGAGATAATTTTTCAATATTCACATCATAAAATCACAACATAATGATTTATCAAAACCTTTTCCATAATACTTCAGCGATTTCAAGAATGCTTCTGTTATTATTTTTCCCATAATCCCCGGATTTGCAGTTAACCTCATATTACTACAACGTGGCAGCTTGCAGATGGATATGAATACCAGAACCAATAAAAATTGTAAAAACACCCTTAAGCACGTGCACAATGGACACTGGTGCAAGCTTATGCTGAAATTTATTTGAAATGAGCAATGCAGTCCTGTGCAGCACTCAGACCCCTGCCAGTAAGATTTCTTAAGCACATCACAACATCATCTTTTCTCTATTATCTAAGAGGAGCAGTAAAAGTTGGATTTGAGTACAATTCTGCATCTGGRAAAACAAGTAAASATGGTTCTAAGTTAATCAAATACTATTCCATTGGACTGATTTTAGTTAAAATGAAGGCAAGAAGACTCACTGTTATTAYCTTATTTCTTTAGAAAAATAAGATGTTGYCAGATAGGAGAAGTTACTATGATTTAGAACTGTAATTTCTGACTGCCTGCCTTTTTAATACCTTGACTCCAGAGGTGACATATTACAGAAAATAACTATTAAATTATCTATATGTAGCTTTGTGAGTACAGGCAAAGTCAATAGTGGTTTTGTAAAGACTCTTGCCTTGATAGTATCTTCCTCACTGATCATTGTTCAAATAATTACCAATCCTAAAATTAAAGATCACTTCGGGAGCCAAATTGAATTTGAATATGTGCAATTCTGTTAAGCATGTATTCCATGGTCATAGAAGCAACTAAGTGAAACATAAATTATACATACAAAATTCTTACTGTATTGAAGTACTTAACATTAAATAGTCAAAAAATTCTTATTCAAATAATAGGTATGGAAAATGTATCTTAAATAGTCTTATACTCTGTTTTATTAATGTGGATACTTTTATATGTTTATTAGACAAATATCTAAGGATTCTGACTGTAATGAAAGTTTTGATGTCCCTGAAGTTCTTAACCATACCATGAAAATTTAYTTGTTATTCAGACTTATTTCTTGTCTTGCTCATGATCACATTAAAAATAATGCATGTAGTTAGYATATCATTCTCTGAGATTCGGACCCGTTTCTGCCTGAGCTGTGAAATGACATCTTATTTTCTGAAATGCAGAAACAACAAAATGCTACTTTTTCATTTTAATTTAATTATGTTTTAAACACCCCACTTTTAAAAGCCTTCTAAATGCAATATAAACAGCTCATTAAAATTGGATGATTTATATGTAGGAATTTCTTGCTGATGCAAAGAAGTATTCTTGGCTTCAGTATTGAAAAGTATATCTGTGTAAAAGTACATTTAACYGTATAGAAAAAAAGTAGTCTCTCCTACATTCTCCCTCAGGCTTGTGTTTTTTATTCCTTCTAACAGACTGACAACTGGCTCTTCTTTAAAAATAGAAAAACTTAATGCCTGATACCATACACAAAATTACTTCCGACCTTGTTTATCAACAAGACACGGGATCATTCATGATTCYTTTTTAGGCTAAGCACCTCTTCAGGTCAGCCAAGTGAATAGGTCTCACATGAATTGTGATAGCAGCATAAGAGTGATTTGCACCTATCCAAAAAAAGGCCTTTTTATTGACCAGTGTGGTCTAAGTATTCTTACTTTAAAGAAGAAGTAAGCTATTCTATCCATATTTGTTTAACATATGGTATCAATAATCTCGTTCAAGATATTTAAGAGTTATTTTTGTTAGAACTGAAATATGATTAATGATGCAAGATTGCTTCCTCATACTTTCAAGTTTATGAGTGAGAATTTGATTTAATATTGTTGCCATATTCCAACAAAGAGAATTTGATTTTCAGCTCTTACTGAATTATATAATTTAACTGCTATATCTACTCATTGAGTAATTAATTATATCTTTTGTTAGTTTCATTTTTTGAGGTCTAACTGAAGTTACTTTTTATGCTGTGGAAAGAGTGAAAGTTTTACAATTTCTATGCACTGTAGAATCCTAAAAGTGTTTCACATACAGAACACTAAAATGTTTTGAAACATTTTCTAAAGTATTTRCCTTCAGTATGCTGAAATATTGTGTTTGTTCTGAATTTGTGGGCTTTTTCTTCTTTTAACAGAAGGAGTTCAATAGTGATTGCAAATTGAAGGAGAGAATAGAAGAAAATGGATATAATACATATGCATCCTTAAATTGGAAGCACAATGGAAGGCAAATGTTTGTGGCCCTGAATGGGAGGGGAACCACGAAGAGAGGACAGAAAACAAGAAGAAAAAACACTTCAGCTCACTTTCTTCCTATGGTTGTCATGGCATAGATGAATGGACTATTTTTTGATGAAGTTGAACCAAAGGCTGTTGTGTCAAGAATATTTGATAATACTCTTAAAAGGTAGGCACAGAAAAGTAGCACAGACATCTGCATGTTTGAAATGAGAGCAGGGGAAGCCTTTGAAGGTTTTGTACTTATTGCTGGCACATGAAATACCTTTATTTAGTTCGTTGTATCTTATAATCAAAATGCAAGCTGGATCAAAGGGGATGGAATTTATTGCCAGTGTGAACTTTTTTTTTTTTTTTTTTTTTAATCACTGCAACAGACCTTGATGGACATAAGGCAATCTGTTGTGTGATCTTCATGGGGAATGCTATTTATGGAATACTAACTCATATCAAAGTCCTTAATTGCTCATTCAAGCCTAATGATTCAATGAACAGTTAGACACACAAGCATTTACTGGAAGCACTTGGGTCATATGCACAAATAATGACATTTCTGGAGAAGCCTTGTGGACGAATGGATAGGATAAGCAAAGTAGTGTATAGCTGTTCTAACAAAATGAATAGTATGGTTTGCTTGTATGTCCTAAATTCACTTCTTTTTATTTCTCTCTAAGTTATTTATTTAATAGGATGTTAAATATCTTTTTTATTTGAAAYGTTTCCTCATTTGCTTTTTTCTTATTTTCCCTTTTTCTTAGTACTTCACAGAGAGGCGGATAGATTAAAATGTCAAAACCTCAGAAGTACTCAGAAAATAGGTATTAGACAAGGCTTTAAAGGCAGAATTTAGCGTGTATAATCCACTTTTTTCCTAAACTGTCTTGCACTTAAGCAAAAGACCAAACAAGCAGTGCTTGGATTTATGGTATTAGGTGTYTTTATATTGGAGAAATTTTTGTACTTATCAGCACTCATGAACAAACTTCAAGAAATACTTTGTTCAAAGGGTCTTTCTGCTATTTTGAAATTGAGAGGAGGGGCCACATCTGTACTTGGGTGTCAATGCATCTGTGTGCACATTCATCTGAATTTGATTTCAGTTTGGAGCTAGGATCTGACACACTGCAACTGGTGTGACATTCTGCAATACACGTTGGGCTGGAACCTGGATGAGGGCAGCCCGTTAAAATCACTTGGATTGCAAGCATTAAAATAAAACAGTAAAGTGTCATTCCTAAGTGTGATGTTTGGCCTCTGAAGAGTAAGCAAGAAAGCAAGTCCTGCACTCCTTATTCAATTAACACTCTCATTCAAACCATTTGCCGTTGGTACCAACTTGTAGAATCACAGGCACATAGTGGGAGCGATATCTAACTGAGGGCTGCTAGACAGGAGATCCAAAATCATGCTCATGCGTTTTTCAGAGATTATTACTCACATGTATATTCTATATGAGAGCCAACTGAAAAGCTGTGCTGGTTTCCAGCTTTAGCATGCYTTGCATAACCGTCACAGTAGCTGAAGGCTCAAAATACATAATATCCAGCACATTTTCATGAAGTGTTACTCATCCCATGGCTTAACTTGAGCAACTGCAGTATAATAAAGTTAAGCATAATATGAAGTCTGTTCAATTAAAGGTACATAAGGTTTGTTTTATATTTTGCTTTACTCGGTAATTTTAGAGAGCTCTGGATAGCTCACCAGTGTAACCATATTGAGATTCATTTTGTTAGAGCAGATAAATAGAAAACAGTACATCAAACAATTTGTACCACTGTCTTCACATTGTATTCCACTAAATAAATAAATAAGCCTTTGCAGTGTCTTTAGTAAGAAACAAAAGTAGTATAATATTATTTTGTTTTAAATACTTTAACTGATAACTATAAGATTATATTGATGCTGCAGTTTATCTTCAATATTTCTTGTTGTGAAAAAGTTGGTTTTATTTTTATTGTTTGGAGACTGTATTTTGGTACAAAGGAGAGCCTTGCTTAATGTGTCTTTTTGAGAATGTTTAACCTCTATAAAGGCTGGTGTTGTTGGAATCTTCTATAACTTATTTAAGTCAATGTTTAACCAGCACTTCAATCTTAATCTGTTATTTAAATATTAGCTGTTTTTAAAGAAAAAAAAAAGCAAAAAAAAAAGCTTTCCCATAAAATACAAAATGGTCAGATTATATTTCCTGTCCTTAAATAAAGTCAGCTGTTTTAAAACTAGGAATTCATTGAGAGACAACATATTTTTAGTTGATAGCTGATGTTGTATTTCATGGTACTTTATCTCCAGTTTTCTTCTTCACAAATGACTTTTTTCTAGAAAGAGAAATAAGAATTTCAGATTATAAATGTAATTGCAGCTCACAGCAAAACTTAACTATAAAGCAAGTTTCTGTTGTTTAAATTTATAATCAGTAATTAAAACTGACAAGACATAATGGACCACCCATACTGAACCTTCAGTATGAATTTGGACGAATGCAGTATTGAATGACCACTTAAAGAGCATTTAGGGTACAAATGAAATTCTTTTCTTACAAAATTACCTAGATGACTTGGTCAGGGGAGGATTATGCATAAATATTATCATAGTACTCAAAACACCATGCTGCTCAAATGACAAGATCAGGAAATCTTACTTTCCCAAAGTGAGCCAGGAGCCATTTGTGACATAAATAGTGGTTTCTGAAAATTAACCAAAATAAAAAACCCTTGAAGGAATCAATGATTCCTGTATGTTTGGTATACTGTAACACCCACTGTAGTGGGAGCAAACTGCAGATCTTAGAGTATCCCAGGTCTTCAACCATAAGCTCTGTTTTCTGTCACCCTGAGCATAACAGTCTCCTGAGTAAAAAGGAAAACAGGGGGAGGGGTTTAGAAAATAAAAGGGATACCAAAATCACTGAGCAACAATGTATAGTATGTTATATTTAAATAAAAATAATAAAATGTGGGGATTAGAGAATAAAAGTATTGTCTTTGTTTGTTTTATTAACCTGAAATTGTACTGCACAATAAAAATAAAAAAGAAAAAGATCTGTTTTACTGCAGGCTGTGATTTYGTGCTGTATAACCCCCAAGCAAAAATAATTTGAACATTTCAAAGCATTTTTAATACTTTGTACGTGTGAGGCCACTATCTCCACACTAATAACAAAATGCTTCAGATTCTTCCTGTATTTGAGTCCACCTAGTTTTATACAGTRGAATAAAGTATGAATTTAGAGGAAGCATGTTTGATGAAGGATTGATGGGGTTTAGGACAAAGAGCATGTATTCACATTTTAAAGTAAACTTTAGATTTGGAAAAATAGTTACATTTTGTATAAGATTTCGTTCAAGACATTGCAGCCTCTGAATGTCACTAAAGGTTAGCAAGCTTTAGAAGTACAATTTTGTAGTTCATGCCCCTCCTCAAACTGTGTCTAGTCACACAAACTGTCATAGCTTTCAAGGAGCGATCTTGAAACTCAYGTACAACCCTTCTTTTGAAGTATCAAGTGTCATTATTTACTCCATTAAGTTAGACTGTGRGACCAAATTCCTCTTCCTAATTTCCTCTTAAATTGGAGAAAGAAAAGTATAACACGTAACACTCTCTGCTCCAGCTAGTCAGTGTGTCAACACTGATGGTATTTTTCAGAAAAAGATCCTTGACTGAAACAATTTCAGTATAACTTCAAGAAAAGAAAGAAAATATGTAAAGAAAAGTTGTTTCCCATGGCATTGTTAGCAAAAATGTGGTGGAACAGGCTGCCAGGAAAGTTGTGGATTGCCCCAACTGGGAGGTGCTCAACGCCAGGTTGGATAAGGCCTTGAGCAGTGTGGTCTAGTGAGAAGCGTCCCTGCCTATAACAGGGATGGTTGAGACTATATAATCGTTGAGATCCATTCCAGCSCTTAACATTCTATGAATCTATTTGGCATTAACCAAACAGCGTACAGTGGCCTCACTACAGGTCCCGGTGAGGAATTTCAGGAGTGGAAATTTTTTTCATTTGTAGTGCAGTAACTTGAAGTTGCACTGAAATTGCTTCAGTCAAGGATCTTCATCTCAGAGAAAATCCTAAACTTACTCCAAGAAAACTTCCATACAGTTGAACATGAGATTCAAAAATTTTTCAATGTAAAGGTAAATATAAATCATCATTTTCATACTTTCCTGCATTAAAAATAAATTAAAAATTAAAAATTGAAGTTTTGCTTGCCTGTGTGTTCAAAAACATACATCATTGTTGTACTCCTACATGCAGTGCATTTCTTGTCCAGTTAGGGTCATGTCCTATGATTTCTTCCTTCTTTTACATGTCTCAGCAAGATTCATAGGTAATTCGCTGAGGGAACTTACACCACCGATGTCTGCAGTCAGTACCAYTAATATCACAAACAGAAGACTCATTTCTTGTTCCATGTAGAACATGACATAGAGAATCTGTAATCTTGAAGTGTTTTGATAACCCTTGTCTCCCCTGAAACTACAAACACATCTACAAGTAAACATGCACATTAGGCTCAAAAGTTAAGTGTGCATTGAGAATAACTTGGTAATTTTAACAATCACTATGCCGAAATCTTGCAAATGAAAATATATTTTCCASCTTCTTTCCTTTTCCATGGTTCACTCAAGGAAAGGAGAGACATTATTATCATTTAGTAGTAGTAGCAGTACTAGTAGTAGTCATAGTAGTCATAGTAGTAGTAGTAGTWGTGATACAATCCTCACTGCTTTTATTAATTGGCAGCCAATACATGACTTATCCTGGTCTTAGACTGAATCTTGTTTCAGTGATGAAACAGGATCAAGATATCAGCAATCTTGTAAGTGAAGGATCAGCCTCCTCTTTCTTATGGTCAGCCAAATCAACTTACTGAGTGCTGCTGATGTAGCACGCAGTTTGTACTCACTTAARTATAAGTTAATCTATAAGATTCCAACTTTGGAAGAAGAGATAGGGTTCTGCTTATCATGTTAAATTAGTGCTGTATCCTTTGCCTGACACAGACAGATAAGATTTAATCCATTTATTTGTTTAACTTATTGCTTCTTAAATGCTATGAAGTGAACAATATACTGTGAGAGAAAGGTCTTGCTGATAGCCATAATTATTACGTTTCTATGGTAATTAGGAGAGGCAGTGGGAAGGTAATGTCAGAATTCTTAAAGTGCTTTAATACAAAACCCTACAGCAAGGTTCAGGCTGTGTTCTCACTGAAAGCCACCATCAAGTTCTAGAAGAATACCTGGGCCTCCAGACTGAGGAAGTCAATTACACAGAGGTTCTGGCTGGCCCTTTACTCCCCTGACCGCTATAGTGTCTTCATCATTCTCCACATCAAAATCACAGCTTGAATCTGATTACATGTACAGATGTAGAATGTGAAGCAAATTCTATTGAGTCAGAAAGTGGCAGCAACTCAGTTTAAGTCACCTGCAGCAGACTTTCGTTTCTTCCACTCCACTCTGTAACWTTTAATATTTTCTTTGTACTTTTTGCCAGAGGCCTGACACAAAACTTTCCTCAAAGTTGTCATCTCTTCTGTTATAAAAGACACCAGTAAGATTCAGACAGTCATATGCGCTTATCCACTCAGGATTTTTAATACTTGATGCAAGCTTTTGGCCCAAGAATTACTTGGGCTTCTTAGTGCTGAACTTTAGAAATGTGCTTTAAGGAAATACTATAAAATTTCTCCATTCTTCTGTTAATCCCTCTGGCTATAATTCTGGTCTCACTGTTGAAAGCAAAACATTTTAGAAAAAACTTTTTTGTCTCTAAATTGAAGAGACATGGATTTGACAAATTATCTGCTCAGTAGAAAAAACCYTTGTGGGATGGTTGCACTCAAAGTGTTGTGTAGAGCCTTGGTCCATATTGGGGCCAGCAYTTTTTAAAACCTTTTTCTGTGACATGAACAGAGGTATTGAGTGCACCAGGCTATGTGATATGGTCAACACACTGGAGGGAAGGGATATCATCCAGAGGGACCTGGACAGGCTTGAGAGGTGGGTCCAAGAAAAAGTCATGGAGTTCAGCAAGACCAAGCACAAGATCCTTCACATGGATCAGGGCAATTCCAAGCACAAGTACAGATTGCGCACAAAATGCATCAAGACTAGCCTGGGGAAGAAAAGACTTTGGCCCATTTGTGGCCAAAAAGTTTAACACGACTGGAYAACACCTGCTTTCAACCCAGAAAGCCAAACACATTCTGGGGTTCCTGAAGAAGTTTCACCAGTGGGTCAAAGAGGTGWTTCTCCCCATTTATACCGACAAGACCACGCCTGGAGTATTCTGGCCAGTTCTGGGGTCTGTAACACAAGAAATATGTGGTCCTGTTGTAACAAATCCAGAGGACAGCCACTAAACTGATCACAAAGATGAAACACCTCTTCTGTGAGGATGTGGGAGCTGAGGTTTTTCAGCCTGGAGAAGAGGAGGCTCCAGAGAGACATCATTGCTGCCTTCCAGTGCTGAAGGGGGCTTACAAGAAGACTGGAAAGGG